AGACCCCCAGAGGTCCCTTCTTGTGTGCCTGCTCCCACCTTCCTCCCCGGACCATGTGGTGGTGTGGGGCGCCCAGGGCTGTGCTCCTCAGAGCCGTCCCCAGCTGTCCCCACCTCTCCCGGCCCAGCCCCTCCTCTGGAAACACTCCCATTAGAAGATCACTTCAGGTGATCTTCTCCAGGATAAATAGACCCTCCCCACTGGGGTCCCTTTTCCCTCTCATGAGCCAGCTCCAGAGAGGCTAAGGGACTTGCCCGAAGTGTCACAGTTGGTCCATGGTTGACCCAGAAATCAGAGCTGGGTCTGTGGCCGCCCATCCCTGGCCTCTCCCACAGGCCACTTGACGTCTCACAGTATCACTCGAGGGCGCAGCCCAGGCCAGGCGAGGTTACTCCCAGGCTGGCATCCACGGGCTGGTGAGAGCTGTCCCCTGAGCCCTCCTGCCGGGTCCCCATACCCCCACACCCACACCGGCCCCACTCACATCCATGTCCTCGCAGAAGGCAGAGTAGGCCCCGTACTGGAGGCGGCACTGGTGGCTCACATCATAGAGGACGCCAGGTGGCACCGAGGGGAAGTCGATGATGTCCTTGGCAGGAGGGTCGTCCAGGCACAGGCCCCACCCACGGCTAGAGATGGGACGGGAGGATGGAGGGGGCGCAGCCTGTGAGACCCATCGGAGAAGCCTCAGTGGGGCCGGGAGAGGAGGAGAGGTGGGAGGGGGCACAGAGCCCTACAGCTATAGGAAACTCCAGCCTCCCCGCTTGGTTCAGCTGATCCTCCAACCACAGCCAGCAGCACAGGCCCTCCCGGCCTCTCTCATCTCACCTCCTGGGCACTCCAGCTGGCTAAACAATCCCAACCCCAATCCCAGCCCTCTGCACACGCTGCCAGGGCCCTTCCCTCAGAAGGCCTCCTGGACCGCCAAGCCCTCATGTGGCGCTGCTCTCTGACCCTGCAGCCTCCGTCCCTGAGCCCAGACCCTGGAGCCAGGCCCAACAAGGATCCAGAGAACATCACATCACAGTTGACACAACAGAGCCTCCGATGGCCCCACCCAGGCAGAGACCTCGGGTCATCTGTGGAAGGGCGAGGTCTGGAAAGCAGCCACCCCCGGGAGAGAGCCCAGGGCAGCCGTGCCTGTCCATTTCCCCCACCCACCGACAGGGCTGGCCTCCGGCCTCCACTCCCGTCTTCCTCCAGCCAGCATTCCCTGGCAGTGGTGGCAGGGAAACCGGCAGACACGAGCAGGCGCCATCTGTGTCCACCACACACTCCTGCTGCTGCAGTCTGGTGAAGACAAGGCTGCCCAGACACAACACCACGAGGCAGGGAGCACAGAGGTGGGGGCCCTGAGGAGGGCGGCCCAGGCCCGGCTGGCACCCACTTCTGACCCTGCCTCACTCTGTACAGCCCTTGGGCATACTATTGCTTCTGGGATGGGTGACCAGCCTGCTGCCCCTGCTGGACCTTAGGCAGGCACCACTATGGCTTAGCAGCAGGAGTGCCCTAACCCGCTGACCACCCCACCTATGGCTCACTGCTGTCCTGGAGGAAGGTTTGGGGCCTTCTGGGGGCAGCAGTGGCTGGGGAGAATTGAGCCACGCAGACATGCAGGGCTGGGGATGACCCAGGCAGCCACGGCTGGGGCAGAAGCAACGGAGGGAGGCAGGACCCGTGGGACCTGGGGCCTCTAGCCAGGCGGGGGACATGGGGAGGCACAAACCCTCCAGTTCTATAGTCTGGGTGGCCTCAGGGCAGGTGGTGCCAGGCCAGAGGGCCAGGATGAGCATACAGTCCTGACTGGGACAGGCGGGGGGCTGCACAGGGAAGAAGGGCAAAGGTGATGGATCCTGGAGTCCAGCAGGGAGAGAAA